TTCAAGATTCTTATTGCGATCCATAATTTGCCTATAATTTCTTCTTTCTTAATTTCCTCTGGCAACGACGGAATATAATAAGAAGCTGGAATGCAAGAACCATTAATACACTCGGAAGGCAAATAAGCCTCGGCCGACGCCTTGGCCATATTAACCTCCCATAAATGTGAATTCCTCGGTCCTTAAATAACTATTATTACAAATAGCGGTCTATTTCAAAATCACACACTTTTTTAAATTTTAAAATTCTCTTCGCTGTAAACCCCGTTGATTGAAAATATGCAGATTTGGTTAAAATACGTGTGGTATTTAGATTCCATAAAAACTAAATCGAGAATCCAACCTCGAGCGCAAATGCAAAACCAAAAAATCCGCCAATTCCAAACATTTCGTCACACTCATTCCTCCGACCCCGCAAATTCAAAATTACCACACACTTTAGGCATTGCGTGTAGAAAACTTATACCTTATCTACCCCGCCCGTGTTTATTAACGAATGTGATAATTAAAGTCGAGTTAAGTAATATTAAATTTAGAATTCCTAATTAGCCACAATTGCTACATTCCCAAAAATCTCTTTGATCGCTTCTGAGCTAACGTGTATTAATTATTGCGTTTAGCGTAGATTAGACGTAGGTACTCTGTGTGTTGTTCTGCCATTGAAGGAGTCGAAGAAGTATGCAAATTGATAAAGTTATGAAGCTTGAACGAAACTTTATGATGCTAAATTTACGCGATGGAGGAACACATTGACATGCGTGCCGAAAATGCACAAAACGTTAAACTTTATGCCGGGAACGCAATCATTACGTCCGTTTATGGACCTGCTGGAGAAACATGTAAACAAGTTATTAATCTCGTTATAGTGGAGAGGGCGCGGTTTTCATAATTACTAATTGTTCTTGATGTTTTGTGAAAATACAATAAACAGCAGAGTGCAAAATAATTGTGTGATCATTTAAAAAAAAAACTTGTATGACACGATTTTTTAAGTTTAGCAACTTTTGAATGAACTGTATATTATTTTAAACGTGTGATTATTTACCTTCTTTGTTCACAATGTCTGGGCTATAATGTTTACAGCAGATTTTATAAACTTTCAAGATTTCTTTTTAGCGAATACTAGAGTGAGAAGCCGGTAATAAATAATGTATAGGTAGTCTATTTAAAAAAAAAAGTTTTTTTAAACATTGTATATCCTCAATTTTAATTGATACTACAACATTCGTTAAAAATTTTAACACAGGTACGAAAAATAACCCTGCTGTGAATTTTTGTACATATTTGCACTGGTAACAAATTCAAAGAAAATTAGAGTAACTTGGCAACGTTGCATCAGAATTTCAAAAATAAAATATATTCATACATTTTAAAAATTTTTATGTTTCTTTACAGTTTTTTTTATTTAGCAAAACTCTTTTTCCTGATAATTTGGTGCGTTTGTTTAAATAATTGAAAAATAGCAGAAACTACCCTGAAAATCAGAAGAAAAGGAATAAAAAATAGAGAAAGATGAGTAATAAAATTCAGGTTGTTTTATTTGAAAAAATTGAGATATGATGACAAAGAGTCTCTGGAATATTAAAATACTTCTGTATTTGTAATGAAAATTATAATATTTTGCATTTTTGTATAAATACGCTGCATAATTGGACTTTATTTTATTGATAGTACAGCAAAGCATATACACTATGTACAGTCGCGGCCAGAGAATCTTGGACACCAATTTTCATTTTGAAAATTTTGATGTATTCTATGCCTATTATCACTTCGACATTTGATGTTTAAAAGATTTATGACGTTGGATCCAGTGTCAGTATGCCTGCAATGTGAAAAATGACGAAACTGAAAAGTAAGGTTAGAATACTTAATGGTGTTTTACATTTTTTGACAATGAAATGATATTAATGTCCAAGATTTTCTGGCCTTAACTGTATTTTTATTAACCTGTGCATAAAATGTGGCAATAAGCAATGCACATGTTAAGAATAACCCAACCGCGATGTCATTAGTGAACCTAGTATTTAAAGAAATATTTAGAAATACTGGAAAAAGTTTCACTAGTAGTTCAAAAATGAACTATGCTTTTAAAACCTAATTAGGACATATAAAAATATATACAGGTTTATATTTAACAAAACTCTTGACATTGGTATGTTTAAAAATAAAAAAAATAGTCTAAGGTTATTTAGAACCAGCTTCTTCGAAAAAGCATAAAATTTGATTTTGGGAAAAAATATAAATATGTAATACTAGTCACAGCGTGAGTAAAAAAGCCACATAAGATAATCGAACCCACGACCTTCGCGTCGTGAGCAGGAGGCGCTAATTGGTATGCCACCACACTTTTGTAAGAGGTCCTTGTATTAATACAAAAATTTGTTATTCAATTTGGATTTTTTGGCGAAATTCAGGTATTTATTAAGAAAAATTTGAGGTGACGTCGTTGACGGGGATGCTAAGAGACAAATTTTGGTTAGCATTTTACCATCTACTTGGATCAGTACTTTCGGAAATTATTTGTTTAGTTTAATAAAAATCGACACAGACAGAAGACAGACATATAGGCGGAAATGGAAGACCTATTTTTCGCACTCTTAGGGTTATGAATCGTCGAGAAAACATAAAAACCATTCCTTTCTAAAAATATAAGTTGTTTTTGAAAAAACTAAGACAGGTCTACAAAAAATTATAATATTCTGGAATGTTTCTACATACAGATACATTTTTTATGTATCCATAAAACATTGCAACACAGATATCAAAAATAAACGTACTGCCATGTTTATGGGAACCTTCTTGTGCTAACAAAATTCGGTTATTTTGAAATAACGAAATATGTTTGTAAAGCTTAAAAAGTGGGCAAATAGAACACGTAAAATATGTAGACGGTTCCAGCAACAAAAAAAAAAAAGAAGACTCATTTGATAGAACATCTATAGATCTGAAAATAATTTTAGGTTCTGTTGTTCAAACTTCGACTTTGGTTGTTCACTTTTTGTATCTTTAGTAATTAATGATGAGATATAGACCAGTGCCGAAGCATAAGTATTCAGTTGGCAGAAAATTGTTCATTTTAACAGACAATTTTTCCAACAATGTAAGGAGGAGGATCAGTCGAAAGTCGTTGTCTTCTTTCGCAACTGATTTGCACCTATTTTTAACTACATAGTCATAGTTGTTGACGAGAGTGTTAAAATACACAAGGTTAATATTATTGCTATTAGTTAAACCAAACGTTTCGGTATGAACTGTATCCTCCTCAGTGGCTTAGATATATCGCGTTATCTTTGGATTTAAAACAATATAATAATAATTGCCCTGATGATGTTGATCTAATTAAGGAAACGAGTCAGAAGTTTGTTTCGTTAGATGTTCTCGGGGTATTACTTCATTATTTCACAAGAACACCCAGTGAGCAAATATATGTTGATATAAAATACTTACGATTCGTTTATTTTAGTTTGGTGACGTTCCACTAATTTAAGACGTAACTAACTGATTTGACGTAAAGAGTACATTTCGAACGAACTCTTTTGAATAGCGCCGGGAATTTGGATCAGGTTTGACAATAGCAGCATAAGAAACATTTCTCAGAATTGGTTTATTTTTTGCCAACTCAAACAGGGTTGTTGATCACGCTGTAGAAATACAGTATTCCGTGAGACCATAAAAATCAAAAGCCGCCCTGGTGACATTCACTTGTATATTATCGCTTTTAAATGATAAAATTTATTTTTGTATAGGAAAAGTGATCATCTTTCAATTTTTAAGAAATTCAAAATATTAAGATTTTCATGAATAAAGACATGTTTAACTGAAATCTTACAACAGTCAATTTTTTAAATAAAATCTTTTATCTTTCTACACAGTACGCAAATAAATCATACAAAATGTATGTATATGTGTAATGATAAATAAGCTGTATAAAATATTCTAAAAATTAACATTGAAAAATAACGACATTCTCTGAAAAATAGTAAATACTTTTTTTGAAAAAAAAAAATTACTATTTTTAATACATAACATTTATTATACTAACTTTTAGATTTTAATTTGGGTGTATTTCAAATAACTCGGAATCATTTCCCATATCGCGGATACTCATCGATATATATAAAAAATTATGTCACGAACAAATAAAATTACGTCTTCTATTAATGAACATAATGGATAAATTTACACAGAAATTATCTAAACTAGGTCCCAATACCCTGTCAAAATCCAAAAGCAGCGTTGACTTTTTGGCATCAGTCATTGGAATGACAGCTGTTTACGAAATTTAATTGTCCAACCAATAAAAACAGCAATAATAACCTCGCTAATGACATCGTTGCATTTCTCTGACACTCCCTACCGCTAATGATTTACGAAAACACATTAATTATGCTCAATAAATTCGAGTAAATATTAACATAAACAAAAACCTTATCTAAAGTACTAGTTATAAACCATTCAACTTTTATATACACAAACCATAAAGATATTAGCCCCCTTCTGAAAAAGCGGCTAGTTTGAAAACATAAAATTTTAACGTAATCTCCCATATGTTCCCACTGATAATGAGGAATTAGCAAGCATCGACCTATTACCCAAACATATGAAAAAATATGTGGAAGCATTTTCGTCACTTCAGGCATTAAGATATTACGTAATTCCCTTAATTAGAATTAATTAACGTATTCGTTAAGCTCCGTCCATCATGACGCAGCTTGCAGGTCCGAAAAATCGATCAATGCGTCGATCAAGCAAAACTCGCTCTGTAATTTCGAACGATGAACTAACATTTGAAGAAAATCTTTTTTCCTGGAAGGGCGTTCCGCTCCCGATAAGACTGCATGCATCACAGAATGCAACATGTTGTCGGTAATCCTGTCAAACATGTGTAATTGAAATATGAAGAGACTTTATCAATGAATAATAACGGGGGTGTTCGAATCGTACGCAAAATCACATTGCACCTACCCGTTAAGAGAGGACTTATATACCGACAGGCGTCGCGACGCCGCTCATTTCAGGCGTCGTACCTGTTGACGAAGCTCCGGCGATTTCAACGATACATCAATTTTAAAAGTTTGTCTGTGGTTTGTGGTTTTCGGGTTTGAGGGCGCAGGTTTTTGGAGATTTTTCAAGGTATGTGGTTTTTTTGAATTTTTTATTTTTGGAAAAATTTTAAGTTTCGAATACGGCTTGTTTACAAATTCGCACATGCACGTTGTGTTGGTCTTTGCGCGTTGTATGGAAAGGGAAACGAATGTTAATTTAAAAAATTGAGTATTTTTGAATGGTTAATTGGTTTTCCATTATTGATCAGTGCTAACATATATGTATATACACAGTGTGCCATACCTATACTGTCAGTGTACATATACTAAACATATACATTATGATAGAAAAATATGTATAATATACAATGCTTACACTCGAAGAAGTTTTTTTTTATTTAAGAAAATAAAATTAAAAGAAAATAAAAAATGGAAATACACCAGAATTTAAGAAAATCATTCTACTTTTTTTTTAATCAAAATTACCCTGAATTTCATAACAATTGTTAAAACTAAAGTTAACTAATAAAAATCCAGAGCTTTTATATAAACAAGCCCTTTCCAATAATGTTTCTAGATTTGACTTCATCATTTTTTTAACTTTTTTTTTTGATTTACAATTTTTCTTAGTCTTGCCTTAATGTTTGCGTCATTTGATTTGATTGCGATTAAATCGAATTTTAAGATTATTTTTTTAAAAATCAAATGATTTAGTTGCAACTTCGATAACATTTTTAAAAAATATCAGATTCACTGCTAAAAGATAAACTGCAATCGTTTAATTTATGACGCTTCCGTGACAAATTCCTGCATTATTAGTTAAAAGTTTTCCATTATTTTGAAAACAAATTGTAAATATATACTTAAGTGGATTAAGGTTTAAATCAATTTTAAAAATAACAGCAATTCTATAAATTGGTACAACTCTTAAAATATAAATTTTAAAAACTGTATTTACTCTCATATTTGACATTTTTGATTGAGTATTTGCATATTTTTCGAAATATGAATGTTTTTCTAGGTTTTATCAAAATTTTAAGGCTGCGCATTACATATTTATTACTCTCTATATAAGATATGTATAAAGAAATTTAGACTATAAAATATTTAAGAATTTTATGATGAAATTTTTTAAATTTTTTAATTTTAATTAAATTAAACAATGTTTGAAGATGTCTCATGTTTAGAGTTTACTTTTGTACATTAAGCTAGACAATAATTTGGAGACTTTTGTATTGTGTTATTTTAAATTAAAGTTAAAAATTTTATAATTCAATATTAGTCATAGTTTTTTACAGTTCATAAATAAAATTTTCAATATTTATTTCTCGGAAAAAATTTTTAGATACATTGTACACCTAAGTTCTATTTGGACTAAATAGTAAGAAAAAAAATTTAATGAAATAATTTTTGAATTTACTATTACATTCTAGAATATATATTTAGATTCTTTCATATTTAATATTACAAAAATGATACTTACACCAACACCGTTTGATTATTTCTCTTTGAAAGTCATTAACTATTTCTGAGAAATAATGTAAAATAAAGCAGAAGAAAAATTGCAACTGTTTCTTATGAATTCTTCAGAGTAGTGATAGCACCAACTGTAGGTAAGATTTTGTTCTTGACGTCATCGATGTATTTTTTAGCTGAATTCGATAGAATCATTTTGACACTTTGAATTTTGTCCCTTCTATTTAAAAAATCTTGATGACGTAATAATTTTGGACCAAGCACCCAATTGTTTTTGAAATTGTTTTCTAAATGTATCCACGCAAAAAATATCTAAAATGTTTGGTGAATTCTGTTGAATTTTGATTTATTTTGTAATGTAATTTTTCATGGATTTTAACGACTTTATCTTGAAGTTTAAACCCAAAAATTCAGATTCATTTTTTCAGATTTTTCTTGAATTCATTTTACTTCAGAAATTTAAACCTTTGTTAATTTACTATTCTGATTTAAAAAAAATGTCCATAATTATACCATTTCTAAATTTAGAATACAGGCAAATGTTCTCAAAAGCCATTGACGTCTTGAAAGTTTATTTATCCATCTATGCCTGAAAGTTAATTACCTTAACAAAGTTTAATATATTTATAACCAGCAAAAGTATGACATCATCTTAAAATATCACATAAGCTTAGTAAAGAATTCCGAGATTCCACACACGTGACATTGCAAAAAACTAAAAGTTTTTTAAAATATCCTTTGATATTCACTCGATTTTTGTTGTGCTTCAGAGACGAGGTAAGCGTAAATACACATAAAAATTTTTTACCCTTTTGTTACTTTGATCTTTGCAATAATCCCTTTTCATGCCACCACTTTACTTCGGTTATTAACACCTGATGTAATTTATTACGGTCCCGGAAGCTCACCTACACCAAATTTAATGTGATTAAAACAAATTGGTGTTCCGTTAGTAATTAATTTATTATACAATACGTAGCAATAATTACTGGTATAGTTATATTTGTCGTTAGAGTTGTTTTGTTCTAGATAACTTTACCCGTGTTAAGTATTATTAATGCTGAAAAATGTTCACACTTATGCCTGTATTAACCTGATGCAAAGTTAGTGTTCCAGGTGTACATTAATTATCATGACCTGTTTGTGTGTCGCTTTTATTTTTGTCTTAACTGTATTATCAGAGATAAAAAGAATTTATTTATTGTACATAAAACTCACGTAATAAAAATATACCTGCACATAATTTATATCGAGCGCTGTTCATCATTTTCAAATTACGAAGATCGCACAATAAAATAAAAGTACCAGAAACGAGTTTTCCAACTAAACTTGAATGGAACATCACTGTGTAAAATAAATGTAATAATTCTTATTTTGTTAAAATTGAGAAATTAACTTCAATTTGACATAAAAGCGGAGCACTCTTTGCGAAGAAAGGTACCAACTTGCAAGTAGCTTGCGTTTTAGAAAAGGAATCGATTTGATTACACAAAGTCGGTCTCGACATTTTAAAAGCTGTGCTTTACCTTCAAGTTGGACTCTAAATGTAAATAAATGTTTTAGGTTTTATAAATAAGCCACATCTTGAATGACACCCACTGTGGTTTAAAAGTCCCATTACGTTATTAAACTGTTTTCCGCATTGCTGGGTAAGAAGAGGAAATCCTGCTTATTAATTTTATTAAAACTATATTTATTTATAACTTTTAGATTGATTTTTGCATAAATATGTAACTAATTCTCACTGTGATACTGATAAGACAAAATTGTAGTATGGTAAATATATACCGTTCTATCACACGACTAAATTAAATGTTGCTGTAATTTTAGAGGTATTCTAGCCTATGAATGATATGTTTTGAGTATGACATTAGCACAAATCAAAATGACAATTAATATTTGATCTTAACATTAAAACAAGTTTTGTTTAAGTGATATACTCTATATATTTGGATCTGTTTCTGGAAAAGGAAAGAAAATAAGAGAAGACGTATTTACGGCTCTTGTTTTGACAATGTTTCAATTTTTATGTAGACCAATTGTTGTACTTATTTACTTGTTAGAATGGAAGATAATAGGTTTTGAAAATGTTCACTGTTTTGGCACTGAAAAGACTAATTTTAGGAATAGTACCATATCTAAAGTAATTTCATTTGACATAGGTAGTATAATCTAAAAACTATGTTTTTCAGGAGTTTTTATTTTTGTTTTGAAAAAGAACAAAGACAAAAAAACTCGATATTAAAAACAAATTTGAAAATTTTCCTTTTGAAATTAAATCGACCTGTATAAATGAATTATAATAGTGTGCTAATTTTTGTACTCTTATTATATCAAGATGCATAATTTTTAAAATAATGGAAATTATTACACTTTTTTGTATATAAAAACAAATAAAATATATAGGGCGTCCCATTTAAAAAATGTCGATAACTTAAGTATACACGAAAAACTCGACACATAAAAAGTATTATATTTGCAGATTAACTACTTGTCTTCTTATGTATTTTTTTTTAACTACTTTGTTCAAATTAAAGAAGAATTTCATTGGTTAATTTTATGTATTCTCTAAGTTTTGATAGCTTCTAAAATATGAGAAAGTAGGTCTTCTTTTTTCGTCTGTCTGACATTTGCCGTTTGAATTTTATTAGACGGACAAAATTCGCAGCTACTGAACCAATTGTAGAATTTAATAAACTTTAAATTTATAGTGTGGCATGCTCTTTCATTTATGAGTTGACAGTGTGTCCATGTTTTTATAAAATATAACTTCAGATCAAAATTTTAGAACTGATCACGCACCACACTTTGACTGCGTTTCAGAGGTGAGGGAAGTTCTTTATAAATATCTTTAGACAATTTTAAATGAATCATCGTTTATTCCATTTAATTTAGATAAGTACAATTTTTAACTTATACAACAACATTTCTACATAAATTCGAATTCAAAGCGGTTTTTCAAATACAGTTGAAACAGAATCATAAATATAGAAATATGATCTATATAGTCTTCTGCAGTCAGTTTACAAGGCAACACAGTTACGAACATTTTTAATGGGGATTTCAAAGCACATTCAGTCGAACATTTTTTGATATAATTTATTGTAAAAATCAATTCGGTAATAAAAAATTATTACTGAATCGACGAAATTTATCAAAAGAAATTGAAAAAGGAGTCTCATTTAAAAAACAAAGACCGTCATCAATAATGTGTCGATTGTTTGGTGTATAAATGGTTCCTTAAATACATAGTAGTTTGGAAGGAATTTTTTAAAAATCCATTGAAACGAAGCACTCTGTATATACACTCAATATTAGAAACAGAAAAATATTGATAGCTAATAATTGTAGAAATGTAATAATAGTTTTAATATTCCCTTTCAGCCAAACTCATGTACTCACAATTAGAATTTCTGAATTTCAGCTGAATTCTCGTTAGTTCGTAGATAAGCAGAAAACTGTTGCTCAACCTGTTGCCCAATTATTCTAATTTTAATGGAATTTTAACAATTCCAAGATTCAGTAGATAAACAAAAGTATGTGCTGTATTGGAGTACCAGTAAAACTGAGGTTTTATGCACAGAGTGTTCATAAAAACAAAAAGTAGTCATT